GGTCCGCAAATCCCATCAGAATCCCGTCATATTATTTCGTAGGCCTTAGTTGTGGTGTGGTTTCTCACATATTTATCCTGCAAATGTTCCCACGAAGAGCGTCTCAAGCAATAACTTAACGTGAATTGCTGGCAGACGAGGTCAAATGAGTTCACGTTCCCGCACCGTAAAATAGGTCTTCAACGGACCACATTATACGCATGATTTACAACTGTACCCATCATTACCGAGTGCACTACGCCTTCATTATTTCCGAGCAGCGACGAGGGAAAAGGGAGCACGGCGGCTGTGATGCGCTTTCGAGGGTATTGCCGATCGGGTCGCTCTTGAGACTCTCGCGACCGCCTGATATTCGGCTAATTTGTGTAGCAATATGCCTCATTCAATTGACCGCCGTAGCTGGTTATTAATATGGAATTAGGTGATGATCGAAACACGCGAATATCTAACCAAATCCCATGGGTTATGTCATTCGGAAGGACAACCCGGTGAAAGCAGTTGAATGTGATGGAGCGTTAGGGGAACACTCTGAGCTCTTGTTGTGAACCAGCTGACCTTTCCGCTCGTCCCGCACATACGTTGCTGTTTTCGGATGACTCCTAATTAGGACAAGATAATGGCAGGTTACGGAGACTGATTGGGAAACAATCAGACAGCACACAACACACTCATTGCCCGGATGACCGGAAGCCAGGGCTCGCGAACGGCGCGTTGGCGATGGACGATGGGAAGGGTGAGAACAATCTTCATTAGCGTTCGTCTGAAGATTCAAAAGGCTGCTTGAACACGATAGTCCTCTTTCAAAGGAGGAAATGAGAGTTACGGAGACCTAGAAACATATATTAGTTTCGACTGGTTTTAAAGCTTGCAAACCAAGAATTGCGGTTTGGTCCCCGTACGGGTGAACAGCCCAATTTCCCATACAACGCCCCCTGAGTTAAATTTTTAATCGGCTGCGTTCATTGAAAGCCAGCAAGGTCCTGACTCGGCCTACAGCACTATATGTTTACGTGTAGCGAAGCTGACAAATGACAGTTGCAAAAAAAACGGTTTATCAACTTCACGGCTACTCTTCAGCTTCCAGTGAGCAGAAACTCTAGCGCTATCGCAATGCGCAGGGGCACTGTGATGGCAATGCATTCAAAACCGCGTGAAACATTTATTCTGTTAAAAAGGGGATAAGCCTTAGGCGAGAGGAGAGACTCCAAAGTGCGTGAGCCATTTTCATTTTCCCCGGAGCTCCTGCCCCTCCTAGGCAAGTCCTAGAGGATACCTCCGTATACTGCGATAGCGCCCAAACTTTTATTATTGTTATTACGCCACTCGGATCAAGTATTCGAGTAAGATCTCGGTTTCAGTTTATATTAACACCACATTTGTTCCCGGCAACCGCCGGAATGTAAGCTTTGGGGTCCTCCTCCTCTTTTATCTTCCCCTTCTCACTCCATTGCTCTCCACCTGCCGCTGCAGAACCTAGTGGAATGGGCAAGTTCTGCGATTTTCCAGATTTGTTAGCGGCCTAATTGATCCATTAACTGCGTTATCACTCACTCCACTTTGCGGACGGACAGACAAATTTACAGAAAACCGACACAGCAAGGTTGCGGTTTATATTATGGAGAGATATCTAAATCTACGGTAAGGTCACTGCTTATCACAAATCAGATGGCCGCAAAGGAGGATTAATTCATTGAAGAACTGTTTGAGGTTATATTCAGTCAGGTCACATTCACATATTGGGCACCGTTTCAATTAGAAGCGCTCTATGGTGTCCGAGCTCGTTCGGCGTACTGTGTATGATGTCGTTCTCTCTATGGCTCGCACGACATATGCTGCCCCTAATGCCGCTGTTTTACGGTCACTGGGTTATTAACACGCAGCATAGTGAGTCCCGTTATACGATACGCAGACATCATTTCAAAGGTTCTCTACTGGTCTTTGGGATGCCGTTTCAAAACAAGGATGAGCGTGCAACCCAATTCTCCCCATGATCCTAATAATGAGTGTTCAGAAGAAGGGAAATATACTTACGTTAGAGCAACAACCCCGGATCGAATAGGTGAGGTTTATTTATCTACTTATATAAGATTTCTTTATGTGACATTATAAGATTTAAAGAGATCTATTGATGCGATAGCGCATGGCAAGGAAATATGTGTGGTGGAACGTGTGTTTGACAAATTGGCGCGCCCCACCACGAGCATCTCTATCATATTTAGGATACCTATCGGTTTATCTTCAGCGCTCAAAACCGCGGCCGTAATCCACTGTTTGCATGTGCTCAAGGGAACACGAAGTATCGTTCGCACGTAAGTTGCACAATATCCGTCATCAGATCACTTCATAATGCCTACGCCAACATCACTCGCACTTTCCGGGCCTAGGCCCGACGCAAGCCAACCCATCCCTGTGCATAAATATTGGCTACTTTATCACAATCATGACAAAATGATTCTTCGCACCACATCTCCCTGGGTTAGCTGCGTTAGTGTCTAGCCTGGAGATTACCGTCCATCACCCATTCTGCTCCAATATTTCTTACGGTCATTTAGACAACATTCTTCGACCCATTTCAGTCTATTTAGGATTGTATTGATAGCAAAACTATCATTTCTTAACAAGTGTGTGACGAGACCAAGCACAATCAAAAGACAGCTTGTTATCACGCAACGGATTTCCGAAGCCACAGTGCCAATCAGAGTTAGCGGACTTTCGGTCATAAGCTTAAACAGTATACTCAGGAGGAAAAACGACAGCGAACTGAGATCAGTTCGCGTGCAGTTCCCCCATAGATACTCACCTTTTCAATAACTCTCTCAAAGGAAACTTCTGAGCTTCATTTGATCAGAGGAAATTGAAACATGTGGCGTTTCAAATGTTCTAGCTGAAAACTTCCTACTCCTCCATGCACTCGCATGGCGATTGCTGACAAATTCAGCAACATTAATCCTCTTTAAGTAACACGTAGCGCAAAGATCATAGAAATTGCGTCGCGTGCATATATCGACCGGGTTTTATTGCCTGAGATCCCACAAAAGCCTTCGAATTATAGTGGTTTATGATGACAAGAAAGTTATTGGTAAGAACGAACATGGCTTAGCTTCCTATTCCACCAGGAGCGCTAGCTTTTCGATCCGCTCACGTTTCAAATTTCTTGGTAGGATCCTTTTTGCGTTACGACTCAACACTAGTCAAAGGGCGGAAGTGGTAATAGTGGCACATGGCAACGCTAGCAACGCTATTCCGGTTCCCACTGATCAAATACGAGGGTGCGTAATCGCTCCGGGCCATACCAAGCCTTCCCATCAATCCCGAGTCCGTAATGTGGTTCCAAATAGACTTGGCCACCATCGCATTCAACACCACTACGATCTACAAATGAGAAAGTGGAATGCGCTGTCCACATTCCTAAGAAAGACAGGAGACTGATCAACGCAAATTGCTTTATCCTTTATTTCCTAGTCAGCAAAACTCGAGAGTTTCCTGCGTCCAAGATTCTCGGACTGCAGAACTAGTTAAGTTCCACCGTCCAAAGTATACACTCCTAGCAGAAAGTATGTCTAGCATCCGAGTGGTGGGATAAGCATATAAGCCTACTAGTACCTGACAGATAAGCGGCGCAACTAAAAGCACGTCTCGAAGAGAGCGTGCACACTCTTCGAGGCTCATCCAACAGCGCTAGGGTCTTACAGTGAGCTTATGGCGAGCAGTTTTAACTGTGGAACAAAGTTACATTCGCCGCACGACATGCAACCATTGTAGCGCCTCATTCATGATACGCGCCCGGTAATGTTGATACCCGTGGTAACAGGCGATGCTCACCAACACCCGCCGGCTAAAATCCTCTCCTTATATCAAGGAATCCTTGTTCAAGGATTCATCTGCGGTTTTCGTTGCTTCCTTTCCATTTTCAGTCATCTCGGCATCCACAGCTCCATTATCGACCGCTGTGACCCTACAAATTTGATCTGAAGTGTTGCTCTAAGCTTTGTATGGTTCCACTCAACATTCAGTTCATCACTCATGACACACCTGACGAATCGCTTATAAATAGGCCGCAACAAAAGATAGTCAGGCATTTACCGCAGCAAGCTCGCTTCTCACCGTGAATCGCAACTTTTAGAAAATCGCAGCAGCAAGCTCGCAGCGATTATTTAAGAAGACAATTAGATCTACCACAATTAAATGAACAAAGAGATTTGGCTTAATCAATACCGTCGATGCCAAAATCTCATTCACCACATCTTGCCTGGCACTTGGTGCCAGCAGCGTTGTTACGTAATAGGCGTGTAGGACACCTGTCGCGAACAGCGGGATACGGTTCATCTGAAGAGCATCTTTAATCTCGAATCGGTCGGGGCCGAGCACAAGGCACGCAATTTAGCAGCGGCTCGTCATTATTGCACTGCGCATCACGTAAATAGCAAAGGCTTTGGGCCACTTCCCGCAGCGCGATACGACACCCAACCAAACCAGACATGCACACAAACACAATGAAACACTGTCAGCCTGCTTTAATAAAACACCGTAATAGCAATACCAATAATACGGGGGATTCTTACACAAACTGGCTAAAACGTCTCTATGCACATCAAGGCATTAAACGGAACACGACGATAAATTATTTATGAAATGTGGATAAAGAAGCGACGTCTCGCAATACGATAGGAAATAATACAGATATGTATGTATGCTTGTGTATTTTTGTGTTATACACCGAGAATTACAATGTCAAAGAAATTATGCGAGACTGACGCTTGAGGTAACCTGAGTCACATGGGAAAATATAGAAACTACTGTGGACAACTCGGCCTCCCTAAAACCAATCAAATGCGTAATTTGTTGCTAATAATTCAAATGAAAGCAATGCAAGGTAATCCAGTTGTAATAATAATAAATAAATGAAATCGAATCCGCAGGTGAGTAGGAACATGCGAAAGCGTCGTGGACAGACCGCACTAATTAAAAATCCACGACATATAATAATATAAATTTAAAAGCTATGAGCGAGTGACCTGCACTGTTGGCGCGGCGGCGCATCTATGATTAATGCTCACTTGGTCTAAGGAAACATTAACTTCACTATCAGTTATACACGTTTTAAGGAAATCATCGTTCAGCAATGCTGCATCGTCCAATGATGAGTGGGAACTGTTTGATCCCATTGGCGAAACTGTTCTGAAATGAACACATCATTATTATAAATATTTGCATATATTAACATCACTTATATCTTCCCATAAAAAGTAATAAATCGAAAGTTTCTTTTTTTCGATAAAAATTGTTCGATAAAGCTCCTGAATCCAGTATCCAACTTATTACATGAAACAACTGGATCTCCTATCTATCATTGCGTACTCTGATACACTCATCTAACATAAGTATAAAAACGGAAGGACAGCTCAAAATGCATATTTTCCACGCTTTCCACTAGAAAGTGAATGCTCCGTTCGTTTGCTAATTGGCTAGTATCCGCGGGTAGAATGTGAAGCGAAGGAAGTGTCCAGTCGTAGGGTATGTAGCGTCGCCGGTACGGTTCTGCTAGGCCACTAGAGGGCAATACCTAAGCACAGAACGCGCCTCGTCCCACACCCATGAAGAGCCCGCCTGCCTTCCTGTATATTTTCACTTCTTCTCCTTCATCCTTATCATTAAACCCTCCTTTAATCATCAACGAAGTCACAACCGAGAACGGGTTCGAGGCTTCCTTCTCAAATCCTACGCATAAAAAAACGACTTCACAATAAACAGCCATCCACACACTACCACTAGTCTGAAAGAGCTCCTTTCAAAGCTCTCTTTCCAACTAATTTTGGAATATTGAATTGTTGGAAGATGAACAACCTTCCCGGATGAGTTGAAGACCATTAGAACAGCCATAGTTCGAAAGCTAAAGTATGTGAAAGAATAAACCAAGAGATTACCTTTGTGGTGTATTATGTCCTGATCCTATCTTGAACAGCGCACGCTTAAGCTCACGTTCAACAATAAATACATTTCTTCGGCGTTCATCTTCTCCAATCCTATAGAAAAACATTAACATTTGCGCAGATTTCTCACCTCCACATCGGAAAAAAAGTCAATGGGTCACCTGTCATATATTAGACCATCCACACCAAGTTCCTTCTTGAAATAATTGATGTTCTCTTTTTTATCTAAGTCCTCTCCCCAGACAAAGGTGATAAGGCCAAAATCGTTCGCTCTTTTGACTGGATATGGATCGTTCAACAGATCTTCCGAATTGAAATTGACACCCTGAAACAGCAACTTTCATCGAATCAAAGAAAAACAAAACAATCTCATCTTACATCCACATTGAAAAGGGTTATTGAGAAACTCTTCATACCATTATATCAGCTCCTGCAGCAAAATTTACAGCAGTAAGGCTAGTGCTGCTACGCTGATCCTGGAACCTGGTGTAACGCTGGGTCTCTCCAACACAAAGAAACAGCACCGGATACTTGTTTTGCTTCATTGATATTCTGAAACGAAAACTTATAACTCTCAAAAGCCACAAGTTCTAACATTTTCTCAACTTCTGTAATCATATCTAGAGGCTTGAGTATGTATGTAAATTTCCATGTAAATTTACATTTTTGTTCTGTTTTTATGTAGAATTTACGTAAACGCTGCAATTTCTGAAAAGTCCAATAGAGGTTCACTTGAGCGGCAAAAAAGATTTACTTACAGCGAGCAAATGTCAGGATCAAAACTGGAAAACATGATCCTCCTACTGCCGGCGTTGTTCAGAAGGTCAGCCAATACAACATCAATGAATTCGTTCCTTTCAAAGTAGTGATCACATTCATGCTGTCCGTTCTAAAAACTCATTAATCAGGGCATATGAGTAATATGGCTACTGCTTCTATTATATTCTCGACAATGCTTACACTTTGCATCATTGGATATTTGACCTCCACGTTAAATCCCACATCTGGGTCCACTTTGGACAGAGCTTCAACTAATGTAGGAAAAGGTTTGAAGTCTTCTTGCTCTTCTCCATCTTCAACAAGCTTTTTGACGTTCTCCTTCTTATGAGGAAAGCTTATATGATCCAGCTGAAAGAAAACAAGTGAATTTTTATACATAAACGTCTGAGAACGCCTTCGTAACTAAAGTTGCTGTGAACAACGTTCATGAACCCATCCAACATATCCTTTTAAATACAACCTCTTTACATTTTCACGATCGTAGTATAATCCTGCGGCCCGTTATTCATCGAACTAGATAATTGAACGGGTTAAAGAAGCACAAATACATTCGCCCCTATGGAGTTTCAGAACACTCCTGAGCATTTCCTCGCTAGATGCACACGGAGCATGCCATTCTTTCGCGCAAGGCTTTCGTGAAAAATTTGGTTATTGAGTCGACAGTCGTCCTGTCGTTCATTCGACAACCCGAGAAATTCTGTTGACATCTCTGGTCAGGTATCTAAGAAATAGTTTGAGGAAAGGAGAATTGAATGAGATTGAATGGATGATTGCAGAGTCACATGAGCTTCGTCTTGTTCACTGTTTTCTCGCTGTTCTAGCCGGACTAGCCCCATATACCTGGCTTCCTCGGCTTAGCTCTGGAGCTAATTATAAGACATTTGTTCTGTTCTCTGGACCTAGATACAGGTAGCCGCAGCATTCAAATACTCATCCCGTCACGCGTGAGTGAGCTACCAGAAAACCTGTCTCAAAAACATTGAATTCCTTAGATTCAATGGCAGACCGCTAGCGTTCGCCTTTCCTCTTCAGTATCATTGAAGGCAGGGGCCGCGATAAGATCCCTAGAAACTTCCTTGAGCGAGGAAGCACGAACCCAAATCACAGGTGTGGTGGCACTGTCGCCTTAAAAGTGCAACAAAGCCACCTTCTCTTAAGCACAGTGACCGCTGCCATTCCTTCCAATCGCAACACCCCCCCCCCCCTCGCGAGCGACGTGCTCTCTCGTGCTTACCCTCTCCTCGCAGTGCTGTGTCTATCCGTCGGAAGATGGTCGGCCTCACGAAAAAAAAACACTCGGTACTCTCTAGGATGCTTTTTGCTTTTTTCATCAGAGTTCCCCTTCGCACTTCTTGTGCGATTTTCAAACAAAATATCACACTAATTCAATCGCGATCCGGTGGCTTTAGTTCGACGGAGGACTTAAATAATATATTCTAACTGCGAGTTTAAAGTTCTATATTAGACTGAGTGCCTGCCAAGGTTAATTAAGAAAGCTGAAAATGTTTTACGTTTGATTTCCACTGAGACTTTTGGAGAAAAGGAAAAAGTATATACGTCTTCTGAAGACATACCATTAGGAGCTTGAGCTGGTTAAGCTTCAAGTCTTTGACAGGAATTTCATGATAATCTATGTGCTTCTCGCTGTGTATATCAGAAGGTCGGAGCACCTCGGAAGAACTTCCTGGCGAGTGACGTTTTGCCACAGAGACGAGAACGTGGAAGTCATGATAAATCACGGCAACCTGAAAATGGCTGTCAAAAATCGACCACTGCACGAGTAGCAAAGGAATTTCTTGGATCAAGCGTTAAATTCCATTTTAAGGCACTGTTAGGTACTGGCTTGAATTAGGAAAATAACTCTGTTAACAAAAAACGGCAAAATGCATTTTGCCACTCGTGAACGCTGCCCACGGAGTGAGAACGATCTAAAACCACTGCTGCGAAAACGAGGAATTTCAAACCGGTCCGCAAGCATCGACGCCCCTCCTGAGATCTTTTCCAAAATCGCGCATTATGGTAAAACCTGAAACCACCGATTTCAAGCAAGAGAAAATTTGATATTCGGGAGAATAAATACCATTGCGGAAGCGACTCATAAAGACGGACCGAGCAATTAGGAGCATGTTTTTTTTAGAAATCTCGAGAAGCACATTAACCCTAACACAGACTAAGAGCACCTGAACTATTCTATTACCGCCTTGTCTCTTGGTTAACTGCACGCAAATATCCCCCACATAATCGCCGCCCCTGCCATTTTTTGTGCACTGTGCTTCAGGGATGAATATACGTGTTTCTCGCGAGCTGCGCCAGCAAATCGGGAAGTTTGAGATGAGATGCTTTTTTTGTCCCTACTTCCACATCAAAAACTGAACCACGATTTTCAAGCAAAGAGAAAATTTGATATTCGGGAGAATAAATACCATTGCGAAAGCGACTCATAAAGACGGACCGAGCAATTAGGAGCATGTTTTTTAGAAATCTCGAAAGAAGCACATTAACCCTAACACAGACTAAGAACACCTGAATTATTCTATTACCTTGTCTTTAGTTAACTGCACGTCAAATTCCACATAATCGGCTCCATTTTTTGCAGCTGTGTTCAAGGGAATATATAGTGTTCTCACGAGCTGCAGCAAACCTGAAAGTTCGAAGAATGCAATTTTCCTACTTTCAATCAAAATATGCTAAGATCTGCCAACACCAACTTCGTAAAGGAATTGCCCGCTCCTCGGTGACCGACTTCTATTGTGTTTCTCTTCTTCCAGTGCCTACTGTATGATACTTCCATGGTTTGTACAGGAATGGGTCTACGCAAGTTCCGCACAAAAAGATACTCCACTGAAAAAAACCATAACAATTCTCAATAAATAATGCCTTGTCAATGTATTATAAACCGTACCAGATATCTGGCCAATGGGCCTTCCTGAAGAATTGATGAACGGTAGCTGGGAGATACCACACGAATCGGACAGAGAGGACGGCAGAGCATAACAGGCGCCTATTCTCTTTCCTTCCTCCGAGAAAATTTCTATATAGAAGGCCTGTAATAAAAAACTAAATTTGGGCCTCAGCCTCTGAATGGCTACAACAACGCACGTAGTCCGAACTAAAAACTGAAGCTAAACTTGAACTCACCAAAAACTCAACAGCAACCGAATGAGTTTTATATACAACGTAGTCCACATTATTATTGAACTTTATGCCTACATCTGGCTGCTGCCTGAACTTGGGATTTCTATCGGACAGGACCTGAAAGTGTTTTTCATTAAAAAGTTATCATGTTTAGAAATATACTCGACTCCGACGTGTAGGACTGGACTGGAAGATATGAACACACCGCGACAGAAATTGTTGAGTGGCTAGGATAGGGTGGTACTCCGTTATCGTCTTCATCATCTTCTTCATCGATACCATAATTAAAGTTGATCTTTGCTCCGCTTTTCTGAAAACACGAGATGCAAAATGTGCTCGAAGGGAAAAATAAGCAAAGTGTAAAGAAGAACGGAAGAGACTTACCAAGCGATGTCGCACATCCATGGGATTGATCTTTATAGTACAATTTTTCCGTTCTTTGGCAGATTTATAGAACTTCAGCGCGGAGCCATAAAGACGAAGTAAGATCTGATTCTCGTCGTCATACTGCAACCATCCGTCCGAAAGGACCTTCCGTCCTGCTTAAATACCACACGTTGCTACGTTACTTTGATGACGGGGCAGTCAACAAAATGCTCGGCTCACTGGCGTAATTGATTAAAAAATTGGATTCAATGAGATTTCTACATATACATACATTTAGACCATTTATGTGAGAGAAAAGCATGCCTATCGAACTGACCATAGTAACCGAAGAGATCAACATGGTTTGCTCGGAACACGCCTCCCTTCTGCTCTGATTTCAATGTAACAGATCGCGGATGTAGAAACGATTCCCATCGACCTGAAAGCGTATTTGTAAACACAGAAAATTATAGAAACCACAAAGTGGGGACGAATAGGTTGCTTGGAAACATAGGCCAATCACTGAATTAATGAGTATAAGTCATGGTAAGATCAGAGCCACACTGCTCTCAGTCCCGCCTTGCAGATTTTAACGAAGTTAAGATGTCGGTCAGACTCTGCGATTGCATCGCGCGATGCAGTCGCTCTTGCAATGTGCACAAGCGACGGGCGATTGGCATCGCTCCAAAGTGCGAGCGACGGGAGATTTACCCCGCCGACGACCGATACACACGGCGCCGCTCGGGCAAATCTCCCGTCGCTCGCGCGATGCAATCGCAGAGTCTGACCGACATCTAAGAGATGATTTTTTACGAAACAGATTCTGAAGACGCATCCAGAATTTCAAAAGACTCGAAAGTTATCCAGAGTGTTAAGAGCAGTGATGCCAGCATAAATTTTAGAAATTTAGAGTCCAGCAATACTGATAAGATGTCAGATAGAAGCTTTTAGAAAGTTTTTCTCTTCAAACCCAGTTATACAAAAATCGAAAAATTCTCTATTATGGTTTCGGGATCAAGCGCATGGTGGGATATTTTATTCCACCTGCACAACCAATAGCTAATTACAGCATTTATTCGCGTTTGTAAAATATTCCTAGCTCCTGGGATCTAAGGGTGGACTTTGGAAATTGATGAGTTGGTAGCACAACCCCTCCCCCCTCAATGAACTTTATCATATCACAAATGTGATTCGATTTGCTTGAATAAGAATTACAAAAGACTGGTAGAAAATTCCCAAAATGCGCAGTTAAGGAGCTGGGAAGCTGAAACTATTTCTTTTGCTGCTTCCACGAGTAAAGGAACTACGCAAGAGCGAGTGTGAAGATGTCGGAATGTTTCAATTATATCGCGCGATCAAAGAAAAGGGTTAGGTTCACCCTCCATGTCATTAGGTTACCAAGGTGAATGCTTATCGCAATGGGTTTTTTTCGGTACTGCTTGCATGCTCGTCATTATGAAAGAGAACGTTCCAGAAGCCCTCAAACTTATTTCGGAGAAAAAGGCGAACCAGTAAGCGAAAAAGATTGAGATAGAAAGGACAACCATCGGAGAAACGCGCTCCAAATCAAAGATCGCAACGCAATCGTCGCAGCTTAATGGATGCTACTTTTTTCTTGCTACCACACCGCTCCTAACTTAATGTTTTCTATTTATCATTTGATTGGATTCGAGAACATCCCTGAAGCTGAATTCGTCACCAATCAATATCACACCGTGCACTTGACCGATAGGCAAAGAAAAACAAATTTAGCGCAGTCAATTTCAGTACTGATACTTCTCTTTGGACACTCCGAATCATAGATTTACGAATATAATTTCATCGAAATTAGTTGTCACTACGTGTAAATGGAGTGGAGATCAAGTACAAAAAAGTACACAAACCATCGAAATTTGGGTATAGGTCTATCAGCAGGAATTCAGTGATGAAGTACGGATCGCATGGTGGAACCAGCGGCCACACAGCACGAGAACCGTAAAACCTACTACACGCGTTCGCCTCTATACACTGACGCTGCAGATGATTTGTGGTCGATCAAGAGTGTCGAACATCACAATACAGTGAACAACACAATTTCAGCGTGCAATACTCACTTCTAACGACGTCGACACTCATATTATGTGTGGATTTTGACTAGGGTTACGGACTGGGACACGGCTTCACCTATGATCAAACGCTGTCCCTGTTCGCCACACAGAAAGTAGCCAATGAAATATCGAAAACGGACTTCATCGTCCGTTGTATCCACATAGCCACGCCAACGAATACTGAAATAAACTTGAACGGATAACTATCGCAAGGCGAAGAAATAAATATGAACAGAACGACTCACGGTCGGTCGGCATCCTGAGTAAGTGTTTTGGCTTTGAGGGGGTCCCATTTCCCAAGTGACGATGTTGAACCAGTAACGAGTACAAATTCAGTTGGCTGTAGATCATCAACGTCAACGGCGAAATGGACTCGCGCCGTTGGACGGCTGCTCGACATCTGGACCAAACGCATATTATGAAGACCGCTAGGCGTTACGAAAACGATAGTAACTGAGCAGATAAGAAGGGCAGGCAGGGCATAGATAATGCGCTCTTTTTTCGGTAAACACTAAGAATATAGGAGACCACGCCTACAGGTAGGAGAACCTTTGCGAACGTACCTCTAAAGCAGAGAGACTCCCCTCAGGTGCTTTGGTTTTCCAGTAATCGTCATCTAAATGAATGGTAATTGTTGCAAATGGGACGATTGCGGCAGCGCTCAACGAAGCGACAGCCCGAGATGGAGGATGCTGTAAGAAATAAGAATACTCATCTTGAACAAACAGAATATTGCGGAAACACGAGCGATCGCACTTGAACTTGGCGAATCAAGGAATCACATTTCACACGTTTTCCAATTTTTCTCAAGGCTATGTGCGAGAACACAGATAGAGGGGATTGCGGAAGAGAACAGAACTATGTTGACATGTAGATAAGATAGTCCAAAAAGATAAACAGGAGCATGAGAGAACTGGAAAATCCCACAAAGTGGATGCGTGTTGTTGGAGGATTATAACCAGGATTGGGAGGATATTAGCAACTTCATAACAGGACACGTTGGAAGGGAGACCACGTGGCCGCGCCATTTTTCAAGCGCGATGGGACCAAGCCTGAGCTTAGGAAGGAGTGGGTAAGTTGCGAACATTATGATTTATAGTTGACTTTTTCACATTTGAGCCTCCTGCTTAGCTAAGGCCCTGTTCAGAGATGTCCGCTTGCGCGAAAAAACGCATAGGCGAAACAATGTGAAATATGTATCGACTGAACGAAGACGCACAGGCGAATCGTGAAGTGGGAGGATCGACGAAAATGAGTATCATACGCATCGACTTACGAACGCTTCGCTCACGCGATTTTCCGCCTGTGCGTTTCTCACAGTCGATACATATCAAACTCTTGACTGAAATTCGCCTGCTCCGGACGTTTCGCTTACGCGTTTCACAATTTCTCAGTCGATGCGTATCTAAATCTTGGCGGAGATTTTCGCCTGTGCGTTTTTTCGCGCCGGCGGACATCTCTGAACAGGGCCTAGGTCAGTGCCAGTGCGTTGGACAGACGCAGCCCGTCGGGTCCCCCTCCCCCCCAACTCACTTAGCACCACAGTTCATATGTGGAAATATTCTGTCAAACGGTTAGTAACCAGCGCTTAGCGCGAAAAGTTAGTAAAAAGTTTCCACAGAAGAGGGAGCTCAAATTCCATTTCTATTCCATCATATATTGAATTTGAATTCGCTTTGCCCCGAAGGCTTTTTATAATATCGATTACACCCCGCTTTTCGTGGATGGAATAGCAAATTGACGGTCGAAGGCTAGCTCTCTAAGCCCATTGCAAAACAACTTACTGCCGCTTAGCTTCAGCTCATGCCAGGAATGTTATGATCACAACGAGCATAGCTGACGTTCCTTAGGATTTATCATGGCACAAATAATATAGAAGGATATGGATGGACTGTGTAAATATAAAGCTTCCCAGGGAATAACCAAAACGAAAATGGAAGCAGCAACAATGCCAATGAGAAGCACAGATCCACATGAGCGCGCTCTAAATCGATCCGCTTATGGCAAGTGGTACGCAATTGCGGTCTGCGCCATCACGCAAGCAGCGTTTCGCTCGTCAGCTTTTTGAGAGATGAAAGTGTGTTGAATATTTACTCGTGGCTTTTTAATGAATACAGATAGGATTGTAGTTCAGATAGATGAACGGGGGCAATGGGGCTGGGGGGAGGGGTACCTCGGACCATCGGCGTCAAAATCACGGAACGCTCCGCTTTAGGGCTAAGCTTCTGAAGAGGAGAGGAAATCCGGGTGCTAACTTAGTTGGGGGGGCACGCGGCGGCGCGGCAGTCTGCTCGCTGGCATGTTCGGAAATCCGTGGGCCAGGGGGAGTGTAGCCAGTCTAGGGGGGTGGGGGGGTGGGGGCAGTCACTTGACATGCGTGAAAAGCTGGAATGTTCGAGTTTACACTGTCTCGCTCGAGAGAGCCCAGGTGAGCAGACTGCCGCGCCGCCGCGTGCCCCCCCCCCCAACTAAGTTAGCACCAACTTGTTTAACGGAAACGTTTACGTTATTCTCAACGGGATTTGCTTGCTGTTGAGGCTTAATCCTAGATGACTTTTTTTCTCCGATTGCCCCCCCCCCCCTCCGGCCACCGAATTCTAGTTGCAAAATGTGGCTCAGCGCGCTACTGTTGAACCTTCTATCACAACCAAAGATGAGTTAGAGCGCATGACGCTCATTCGTTAGGGGGGGGTTCACGGACTAGCTTGATTTTTCCTCAATGGTCCTGCCGCGATGGCTAGAGCACAGACGATTAGAGAACAGGGTGAATGCCCTAGGACTAAGCCTTGGAGAGGAGAGGGACCCACGAGAGAACGCAGAGGCGGTTTAAAGGGCTGAGTTCAAGTAGTCCGTCGACCAAGGGGGGGATATTGAGTGGGTGAGCCACGTACAAAATTAGGCAGTAAGCTTAATGCTAGGAAGAAGGGATTCTGGGGAAGGACGTAAGGAACCATTGTTCTCCCTGACGTTTTTCCCTTCGCCTGAGCATAGACCTTTTGTCACCTACCAGCGGTTTTTAAATGGTCCTGTCTTGGCTGCTCCTTCCCCTGAAACCATGAGCGCTGGCGCATCAATTTCGGAGTGGTGCAGAGAGGGGGGGGGGCAACCCGTAACACTGCGTCAGGATTAAGGAAACGCGCAGTTCCAGGATTATTCCTCAGAAAGGGAGAGGGATTCCGCTCCGGGTGCTAAGTTTCATTTCTCCAGGCTTCATCCCCCTATGTTAGACCCGGGGATTTTTTCCGCACCCCCTCATGTTCGAGGAGCCCAGATGGCTACAGTAGTCCTGTATGGTAGACATTTGCGTAAGGGGTGAAATTGATGAAAGAATTAGGTTTAGTTGAGAAATTCGAAATCGGCAACACGCTGGGACGCTCAACCCAGCTCTGCATACCGTTTCTCGAGACTGATGGCCATGACAAATTCTAGAATTTCTTAGAACAACTGTTGTGAAATGCATAACTTGCTTGACAGATGTTCAGCTCATCTGCGGACGTGAACAGCTGCTAAGCTCGTATCCCTATAGCAATACCCGGATTTGTACAGATAAACGTCTCGTGTTTTGTTTTGAGCTTTTTACGGATGTCTTAGCTTTTTACGGATGTCTGAGTGGAAGTTCCCTGTGAGGAACGAATACGGAACTCCGCCGAGCGTAGAATCCCAATACTGACCATCCAATTATTTTTTCCAATTAAAGTTAGCTCAAGGATCCGAAGAATTGCATTTTCTGAGCACAATATGCTAGCCTACACATTTTACGGCATCAAGAAGTCATTGCTACAGCTCGGCTTGATTTCATACGTTCCCATGAATCCGAGTGGCGGTCAAATGCACGGCTTATCTTCAAACGATTGATCAGTGCCATCAGTTAAGTCCAGATCCCTGCAATGCGCTCAGGGCACAAAGCTGTGTGGAGGCAGAGCTTCTTTTAGAGAGCTTTGATCGTTAAGCGAAAACAGAGGAAAAGAACAAGAGAATAGAGGAAATCGGGTTCAAGACTGTGTTCAAGCTAAGGAAATGTTTGTGAGAACTACGCGAAGGAAAGCTCTAAAAGCCTTGCGGCTGCTGTTTCCTGCCAGCGGTCAAAAAAATTATCGATCAGGGAGCGTCTGAGAATGTGAAAATTCATAGAATTCGATTAGGACCGCACTTAAAAAGGACTGACGAGGAAAGGGCAGATTGAAGCAGACGTGTTCTCACAGAACATCAGAGAAAGCTGCGCCCCACCCAGCCAGTCACACGTTTTTCACTGAAACCGTGGAAATCGATGGATATGAGCGGAACGGGATGTGATCCCAGCATCAGTCATGACTACATGAAAGCGAATGATTCACATCGTGAACAACAACAAGATTCTGCTCCTCGATGTTAAGTAAGTCTTGTGTGTGGCCAAAAATAGGGGAGACGTTCACATCTTCCCCTTGGTAGCGTCACCAGAGCTGCGCGATCGCTGAAGCCTAAGGTTATGCTTGGGCTAGGCTCA